GTGAATGGGTGCCGTCAGAATGAGAGTCCAAACAGCTGATAAAAACATCACAATAATCCACACCACTCCAGTCCATCAGTCAATGTCTTGAGAAGACAAAAGCTGAAACAAATCCATCATTAAGACTTTTTTAACTTCAAATCGTTGCTTCTGGTTAAAATACACGAGTCCATAATCCATAATAACGCTTCCTCCAGTGAAAAAGTCCATCTCCTGTTGTCTCTCACATCAAAATCCACACACATATTTGTTTAGCTCTGTTTTTGCTTGTAAACGGTGCTTGATCTGTGCAGATTTCTCTCCTGATTCAGACCAGGTGACTTTTTCACTGCGTTATTATGAATTATGGACTCGTATTTTTGCTTAAAGCAATGGTTTGAAGTTAAAAATGCTTACAATCATGTCTTCTCCAGATGTTAACTGATGGACTGGAGTGGTGTGGATTAATATATTAAGCAAATTTTTTGAGTGAATTATTCATTTAACATGCATTGCTGTATTGTTCTGGTAGTAAAAACCTCCAGAAATCAAGTAGATAACTATAAACATGTCAACAATTCTATTTTAACAATTTTTCTTTTAACTAATAGCTGTTGCTGTGCCATGCTGAGAGAAAACAAGCCAAGAAAATTGACTGCAGATGAAGACGCCTACAATAACGCTCCTTGCTGCAATGCATATTCTTGTCGCATTATGAATTATAGTCTAACACGTTTCATAAAAGCAATGCATGAAATCGAGATCCAAAGCACCTGCATTCATGTAGAGCTTGTTTAAGGCCAAACTGCAATGCTATAGTTGTAAAGCAAGCTAAGGATGCCTGCTTGAGCAAATAGGTCTGCATAAAGCTGATGCATCAAGATGGGAAAAAAACTAATGCAGAGTGTATTTTCTGTGCCAGGCTCTTAAATGCTACTACACTCGGAAAACCTGCCAAGAGCTCAACCAGAACCAATGCTTTTACTAAAAAAACTGACTCAATCATATGCCAGATCTTGATTGAAACTATAAAAGGGAAGGGGTAAATATTAATTAGAGTAGAAATGAAAAAGAAATCCATCTTCCAGAGAGCAAAAAGCAACATGGTGTTGACTGAAGCATCAAATGAAAGGCCATTTCACACCAATGTGAAGAATGTTTCATGAGTTCTCAGAATGCAATGAGAAATAGTTCCACATCAGATCTCATTCACACCATATGCATCCAAAGACAAAAGGTTATTTAAAGAAACGGAATGCTCATTTTATAAGGAGTCAAACCTTACTTGAATAATGCATATGCCAACACTCTTAAAAGTAATGGATATTTATTGGCATTTATGGTTCCATGAAGAACCATTAACACCCATGGAACCATAAAAGGTTCTTCACAGTGGAAAAAGAGTTTCAAAATGGCTCTTTTAAGAACTTTTTACTGGAAGGTTCTATGGGGAAACAAAACTGGTTCTTCTATGGCATCACTGCAAAAACACCCTTTTGAAACCTTTATTTTTAAAAGTGTATATGCATAAAAAACTCCTCAGAAAATCCTCATGATTCGATATCCAGGTGCAAATGTCACCCAGAGACTAAATGTGGCCATAATATATAGTAGGTGTGGCTCTAGTGTAAAAAACAAATGGAATATGTGAGCAGCGTCACTCCAGGGTGTCCAACAAAACCATCTGGAGCTGCTTTAAATTCCGGCGAATTTGCAAGTTTCAGGTATTCTTTAGCACCTCCAAATCCCCTCACGCCTCCCACCATTAAACCAATGAAATATCCTGCTGTCAGAGCACACAATGCACTCCTCGCCATCTCTGGTGAACGTTGCTGGGAGAGACAGAATCACTACGGGGACTGTGTGGCGCTCGGCAGAGCATTCAGGCTGTGTTTGCAATGGCAAACTATCGTACTCATTCATAAGCATATTGTACATAATAGCAAAAAAAAATCCTGCATTTTCCCTCTTCTAATAAAACTGCTGAATATTGCTGGCTCTTTGACAAATTGCATCAGATAAATGCATAAATGCAAATAGCATATGAAAGTCAGAACTCATCAAAATAGAGCCACAATGGAATGCACCATTCCTAACTATCCATTTTCTGTGCCTTTTAACTTTTTCTTGACTCAACATTTATGCTAAGAAGATATTACAAATTGGAATACAGTGCAAAATAGCCATTTTAATATCTGCAATGACAACTGGATGCCACTTGTTGAGTCATGCAATGCAATGAGGTCATGCAAAACGCATTTGAAACATTTATCTTCGTGCATACTATTAAAGAACGGTTGCACAGAACATTCCAATGTTATGCGTCATGCGCGTGGCTTCATGACATCACAAACACTCGCGGTGCGTTACATGACATCATGTCCGACTGTACTAGTCTCATGGTTTCCATTAAGCGCTAATGTGGCAAGTGCGTAACCGCGCAAATGTGCGTTATTTATTTAGTGCGATTTTTGCGCATCTGCCCAGATTCAGAATAAGCACGCAAAGGCCGCATTAGTGCTGCATCATGACAAACAAACACTCTCTGTGTCCTTATAAAACAACCTCTGAAGCGATTAGCACAATTTAAACACACAACTGTAGGGAATGTCACGAATAGCCTTTTATTATCATTCGCAAACGGACGCGACGCGACGCCCGAAGTGTGAAAACACAACGATTGAAGGATGTTAGTAACCCGCTGCGGTTCTGTCGCGCAACAGTAACGTGTGAAATGGTGATTTCTCTTTGGAGTACCGCAGTGAGATGATGGGCACCGGATCAACATCCATTTAGGGTCACTGAGAGTAACGCGCCAGATTTACACATTTATACCATTCGATTACGAGCTACCACATCACAAACTGGTAAATCACATCCATACAGATTACTGATTACAGTAACCTCTGGTTATGCAAATGCATGTCTGCGCTTTGAATAAGGCAAAACTCCAGCCTCAGGATCTGACCACGCCTGTTTGCATCCATATTCTACTGTACCGTTATTCCACAGCTCACGTCTATGATTCCCACTATCAATATAACCACATCTAACTTCAATCTTGATTGTTTATAACATTCAATATATTAAGTGGAAAAAGAGTTTCAAAATGGCTCTTTTAAGAACTTTTTACTGGAAGGTTCTATGGGGAAACAAAACTGGTTCTTCTATGGCATCACTGCAAAAACACCCTTTTGAAACCTTTATTTTTAAAAGTGTATATGCATAAAAAACTCCTCAGAAAATCCTCATGATTCGATATCCAGGTGCAAATGTCACCCAGAGACTAAATGTGGCCATAATATATAGTAGGTGTGGCTCTAGTGTAAAAAACAAATGGAATATGTGAGCAGCGTCACTCCAGGGTGTCCAACAAAACCATCTGGAGCTGCTTTAAATTCCGGCGAATTTGCAAGTTTCAGGTATTCTTTAGCACCTCCAAATCCCCTCACGCCTCCCACCATTAAACCAATGAAATATCCTGCTGTCAGAGCACACAATGCACTCCTCGCCATCTCTGGTGAACGTTGCTGGGAGAGACAGAATCACTACGGGGACTGTGTGGCGCTCGGCAGAGCATTCAGGCTGTGTTTGCAATGGCAAACTATCGTACTCATTCATAAGCATATTGTACATAATAGCAAAAAAAAATCCTGCATTTTCCCTCTTCTAATAAAACTGCTGAATATTGCTGGCTCTTTGACAAATTGCATCAGATAAATGCATAAATGCAAATAGCATATGAAAGTCAGAACTCATCAAAATAGAGCCACAATGGAATGCACCATTCCTAACTATCCATTTTCTGTGCCTTTTAACTTTTTCTTGACTCAACATTTATGCTAAGAAGATATTACAAATTGGAATACAGTGCAAAATAGCCATTTTAATATCTGCAATGACAACTGGATGCCACTTGTTGAGTCATGCAATGCAATGAGGTCATGCAAAACGCATTTGAAACATTTATCTTCGTGCATACTATTAAAGAACGGTTGCACAGAACATTCCAATGTTATGCGTCATGCGCGTGGCTTCATGACATCACAAACACTCGCGGTGCGTTACATGACATCATGTCCGACTGTACTAGTCTCATGGTTTCCATTAAGCGCTAATGTGGCAAGTGCGTAACCGCGCAAATGTGCGTTATTTATTTAGTGCGATTTTTGCGCATCTGCCCAGATTCAGAATAAGCACGCAAAGGCCGCATTAGTGCTGCAGCATGACAAACAAACACTCTCTGTGTCCTTATAAAACAACCTCTGAAGCGATTAGCACAATTTAAACACACAACTGTAGGGAATGTCACGAATAGCCTTTTATTATCATTCGCAAACGGACGCGACGCGACGCCCGAAGTGTGAAAACACAACGATTGAAGGATGTTAGTAACCCGCTGCGGTTCTGTCGCGCAACAGTAACGTGTGAAATGGTGATTTCTCTTTGGAGTACCGCAGTGAGATGATGGGCACCGGATCAACATCCATTTAGGGTCACTGAGAGTAACGCGCCAGATTTACACATTTATACCATTCGATTACGAGCTACCACATCACAAACTGGTAAATCACATCCATACAGATTACTGATTACAGTAACCTCTGGTTATGCAAATGCATGTCTGCGCTTTGAATAAGGCAAAACTCCAACCTCAGGATATGACCACGCCTGTTTGCATCCATATTCTACTGTACCGTTATTCCACAGCTCACGTCTATGATTCCCACTATCAATATAACCACATCTAACTTCAATCTTGATTGTTTATAACATTCAATATATTAAATAATAATGATTATTTGAATGCATTAAGGCCTCTAAATCTGGATCAGCATTAAATACACCTAGATTTATATCATTGACGCAAACTCCTCTCATTTGGACTCCATCACCACCCACGTATTTATGAGAAAATCACTGTAATTATTGCGGCAAACGCGGTCTACGCGAGCGCATTTCAGCCTGTGTGTTCTCAATAAAACATCCGAAAATAAAATAAAGGGTTTGTTTGTACTTACCGATAAAAGAATACGTGATAAACTTCACCGCCTTTGGAGTCCGCAGCGCGCAATGAGCGAGAGAGAGGCTGGACACACTGCGCTGGGAGTGACCAATGCGCACTGCCTCCCTCCCCGTCAGCTGCTGCACTGAGACGCGGGGCGGGGAATCTGCTCGCCCTACTACGGCGAGACAGCTCGGCCTTCGTCATAGTAGTGGGGAGAAGTTTGATTCATTTGAGCGAACCGACTCACTGATTCGTTTTTTCACTGATTGTGGTTTTGAAATGGCGACTTTCACCATAGTAGTGGGGAGAAGTTTGATTCATTTGAGCGAATCGATTCGCTCGTTTGTATGAACCGACTCATTGATTCGTTTTTTCACTGATTGTGGTTTTGAAATTGCGACTTTCACCATAGTAGAGGCACAAAATCACTTTCAAGGACTTTTTCATTAACTGTTCCCTCCTGGTGGAATGACCTGCCCAACTCAATCCCAGCAGCTGAGTCCTTAACCATCTTCAAGAAACGACTAAAAACACATCTGTTCCACCTTTATTTGACCCTCTAACTCTAACACTTTCTATTCTATTTAATTCTACTTTATCTATATTTATCTTTGTAGTAGTCTGCAGAGGATTGATTCGTTTTAGCGAATCAATTTGATGTTTTGAGTGAACCGACTCACTGATTCGTACGAATGAATGAAGTCTAGCGTGATCGCGGCGTTTCTACGTATTTGTTTAGAAATTGCGGACTTCGTCGTATAGCGTGGAGAAGTTTGATTTGTTTTAGTAAATCGATTCGATCGTTTGAATGAACCGACTCACTGATTCGTTTCTTGCGTTGAGGTGCGTATAAATGAAGTCCTGCGTGATCGCGACTTTTCTTTACTATTTGAAATTACGGCCTTCATCATAGTGGCGTGGATTAGATTGATTCGTTTTAGCGAATCAGTTCGATGTTTTGAGTGAACCGACTCACTGGTTAGTACGGATTAGTACTAACGGTTAGTAGAAGTTTGATTACTTTTAGTAAATTGATTCGATCGTTTGAATGAACCGATTCACTTATTCGTTTCTTGCGTTGGGATGCAATGAAGTCTAGCGTGATTCCGACTTTTCTTTTTCTTTTGAAAGCGCCTCCATCATAGCGTGGAATAGTTTGATTCTTTTCAGCGAATCAATTCGATGTTTTGAGTGAACCGACTCACTGATTCGTATGACTAAAGTCCAGCGTGGTAGCGGCTTCTTTTTGTCATTATCAAATATTTAGTTGCTGTTTATTTTTCTGTTACTTTAATAAATAATCATTTTACACTATTATGCCTCGAAAAATAATTGCCAAATGGCGTTATGATAAAGCGTTGAGAAGTCCGAATCATGTTCGAATCGGTTCAAAAACTAGATGTAGCCTACTGATTCTTTTGAAGACTCGCTCAAAAGCGATTGCTCGGCCATGCACGTGCGACATACTTTTGTTGTTGTTACATTTTTATAAATTGTATAACTTGTTTATCACTGTTTAGATATGTTATTTCAAATAAAATACCTACCAAGACTGTGCCAAACGTTGTTTATAGTTCTTACTTGTTACTTCATACTGTATGCCTACTCTGTGATTTGCAAAAGCTCTGCGAATCAATTCAGATGAATCGACTCATAAGAACCATTGACTCACTAATGAGCTGTTCTAAGGTCAGTGGATATACAGTGTTTAGGCCAGACATCTGTGATGCTTATGGATCCGTGCTTTGATATAATATTGAAATATGATGCACTTTAAAATGTCAAAACCTGTTTCTCCAGAATAAATGCATTTAAATGCAATGCTATGCTTCTGTGTATAAACATCCACGCAGCTATGAGCAATTGTTTTTATTCTTGCTGTTGTTTTTATTATTTGGGATCTTCCCGAATGAAATAATAAACCTTGTAAGTCAAGTAAAACATATACTGTGCTGTTGTTAAAGTGGTCAGTCCAAATATTGCAGACCACTTTCATTAAGTATTTATCAGCACGTGTTTCTTCTCCAATCAGATGAAGAGCATGCTGCGTTATACACATGGCTTCAACCACATTCATAATTCAAAGAGAAGGCCTTTCATACATAAAGAACCAGAATGGACACTGTTGGGTGGGTCTGGAAATTGTCTGTCCAACCAACAAGGACAACAAGCTCATCCACATCAGCTGTTTAGTGTTCGCACGTCATCCTGGTTATGGATTATCTGCTTGCATTTATCATTAATAATTAGCTGAGATTTCAATGATTCATACTACTTCATAAAATGACTTTTTTAAATTCAACAGAACATTCAGTATCAACAACTGGAGATACAAATGTCATGATCCAACCCTAAAGGAACGGCAGCTGTGAGTGACGGGACACATGAGACGCTTTACTGCAGGATTACAGAATGTGTTTGCACCAAAACAGGGACAGTTAGTCTGGATACATGCAAACACCTCAGTTAATAGCTGAAAAAACAACAACATGTCAGGGTCACATTTCACCCCAAAAAAGAAATGATATTTGTGCTATAAAAAAAGAAGACATTGTTTGCATTGTGTCGTTATTTTCATGACAATTAAAGACTTTTAGAGGCGATTTTAATTCATTTTATTCTGTAATTACTGTATTGCAACTACTATGATGTACATGCATATATAAATAATATGTGCAATTACAAATAATATATCAATTAAATATAAATATTAGATGAACAACTTAAACCTAAAGAAATTAAACTAAAATTAGAAATGCTGTCTTGGCAACTGTCTAAAATAATAATAATTAAAAAAAAGCTTAAGTTGAAGTAATAAAATTACTGAAACTAAAACTGAAATAAAATAAAATAAAGAAATATATATATTTAAAAAATAAAATGAGAAAATCACAACAAAATTACTAAAACTAAAATGAAATAAAATAAAATAAACTAAAGCTAAATGTAAATACAAATATAAAAAACTAATTAAATGAGATAATCTCAACAAAATTACTCTAAAACTAAAACTGAAAATAAAATAAAGCTAAATAGAATAAAAAAACGAATAAAATGAGAAAATCACAACATAATTACTAAAAATGTAACAAAAATTTAAATGGAATCAAAAGATACAAATAAAATCTAATGTATTATATTAATATACTATAATAGTATATTATTAAAACCACAACAAAATTACTAAAACTAAAACTGAAATAAAATAAAAACTAATCTAAATATATAATATATAAATATAAAATATAAAAAAAAATATAAAACTAAAAAAAAAAATTAAATGACAAAATCACAACAAAATTACGAAAAAATTAACTAAAATTTAAATGGAGACTCAAA